CACACACACACACACACACACACACACACACACACACACACACACACACACACACACACAGAGCTGGCTCATCAAAGTAGAAGGAAAGAAAGTCATGAGCTCTGATCATCTTATCTCTGCCACCTTGCAAATTAAACATTTTTTTAATTTCTTCCTAGGCCTTTTCTGTCCCTTGTCCTGCATCTTTTTTTTTTTTTTAATTTAACTGTCTCAGAATAGAACTCAGTGCCATGTCCTTCTGTACTGTATTATTTTTCTACCAGGACATAGTTAATAACTCATAAAGGTCTCTTCTTAAGTAACAAGTCCATTTCTGTGAACCATAACCCAGACATGAAACGCTAGACCGTGTCCTGATGAACATTTATTAAAATGGGAGATTTGTTACAAGTACAGCAATACAAGGAAATGAAGGAGGAGGGACTCCCTCCCCCCACACACACACTGGACACATTTTCCCTTTCCAGGATAAAAGCAGAGGTGGGAAGCAATTCTCTTCCCTGAAGCCTTTCAAAGGCTCAGCCTCAAACCAGTGTTAACAAGGGAACCACAGCTTAGGGACAGGCGGAGCCCTGCGGCCATTGGCCTTGGGCTGCCACAGAACTGTCCCTTCCCGGCCCTCCCCGCCCCCCCCTTCCCCAAGTCTCAGCACCACTGGAAACTCAGACCCGAACCTAAGCTTAGGGATTGCTTCACCTGCTACCTGTTTGCTGCAAGCCGGGCCATGGAACCCAGGTGGTACTACTGGCTTGTGTCACGATACTGAACTTTCCAGACCCTCCCTGTCCAGTCTCCTGGCTCTACTGACCCACCACAGGGCCCCACAGACAGGCTGGATGGACGGACAGACGGACAGCAGCCTGTGTCTGAGGCAGGCAAAGAGGCCAACGCGTCGCAGGTGGGAATGTCGGAGACCACGCGACAAGATGGTGACATGTGGGGTTCAGCCCCCCCCCCACGCCGCGTGGGGGGCTCAGCGGAGGTGCAGATGCCTGGACACTTTGCTGTTTCCTCAAAAAAAGAAAAGAAAAAGAAACGTCTGTGGTCGCACCTCGTCCACTCCACTGCGCCGTTTCTCTGAGTCTTGATTCTCAGAATCTGGAAGTTTCAGGAAACCGCAGGCCCAAACCCAATGTTGTTCTCTGCCCCAGAGCCGAATGGCTGTCTCCAGAGACCTCACTTCTTGGTGACGGTGTACCTTTCCTCCCTTTCTCTCCTGGTCATTCTAATGAGAGGGTCCCCAGGTGTCTCTGGGGTCGGCCATGAGCGCGTCGGGGACACTTCTGGAGAGGCTCGGCTCGCCCGTGAGCTCCACGCTGGTGCTGCGGTGGTGCGCGGCCTCCGGCGCGGCGTGGGAGCAGCGGCCAAACAGCGTGGAGAAGAAGTTGGGGAAGGACGGGCTGGAGAAGTAATACACCGCGGGGTCCAGCATGCTGTTCATGTAGGTGAAGCTGAGCGTGATGAAGAAGGCCAGGTCCACCGAGCGGTAGAGCTCACAGTTGCCGGTGCCCGCCGTGTACAGCAGCCAAAAGATGCGAATGCGGACAGCCACGCTGGGCAGGAAGCAGATGATGAAGACCACGGCCACCACCATGATGAAGTTGATGGCGCGCCTGATCTTGGCGTGCTTGTCCATCTGCCGCTGCCGCAGACTCCAGATGATCCTGGCCGAGCAGAACACGATGATGCCCAGGGGCAGGAAGAACTCCAGGAGGAACATGGCATCGTGCCAGCGGAAGGTCTGGCAGATACTGAAGCTGCTGCACAGCTTGGCCCTGCCGTTCTCGGCCAGCATCTTCTTGTAGAGCAGGTGGACGGTCAGGCCGATGGTGACCGCCCACAGCACGCACGAGATGATGGCCGCGGTCCGATTGGACATTTTGTTCAGCGGATGGTGCGGGTGGACCACGCGGAAGTACCTGTCCACGGCCACCACGGTGAGGAAGATGATGCTGCCCTGCCGGTTCATGGCCAGCATGAAGAGCGTCAGCCGGCAGGCCACGTCGCCGAACTTCCAGTCCCATCTCTTCACATAGTTGTCTGTGAGGAGCGGCAGGCAGATGATGAGCAGAAAGTCAGCCACGGCTAAGTTGAACAAGAAGATCCGGCTGGATTTCCAGGACTTGAGATGGAAGCAGAAAATCCACAGGGCCAGGCCGTTGCCAAGAAGCCCGAACACGAACTCCAGCACCAGCACCGGCGGCAGCACTTTGGCGATGAAGTCATCTCGGAACACACAGCAGCTCTTCCCGTCGATCACCAGAGAGTGGTTGGCCGGGCTCATGGGGGGAATCCGGTCCGCCCGCTCCAGAGCGCCTCACCGAGCCAGAGCTGAAGGAAGTGTGTGTGTCCGTGTGGGGAGCGCGGCTGGGAGCTGGGCTTTATGTCATTTCAGGGTGTTGAAAGAGATGACTGAATGGTTACCAGGAAACTACGAAATCGCTTTTAGAAAAAAAAAAAAAAAAGAAGAAGACAAGCTAGCCAGGCTCTTATGCAACCTGCTGTTTGCATAAACAAGTAATAAAAATCCCCTGGGCAGACGGGAAGCCCACAGTTTTTTTTTTTTTTTCTCTAAAGATAAAGTATAAGTTTAGGCAAGCTAGCTAGCATTTACAAACGAGTAAAACACAGGACCGGCTCTTGGGGAAGGCTGGGTGCGTGTACACGGAATAAATACCCCGCAGCGAGGATGAATGCGCTGCTGTCATCAACAGAGACACACTGGCAATCATACACAGCTCACTGCTCTGAAAGCCCCAGGAATTCACGAGAAATATGAGTGTAGGTCTCACCAAGGGAACAGCGGCATGCATGTGATTCTTTCTGGAAAGACTGAGAATATAGCACTTGCTCATCCAGGAGGACTGGGGCTCAGTATCTGTGTCAGCTCTACACATGGACATGGGCTGCTTTTCTTCACCACAACTCTGCAAGTCATCTCTGGGTTAAGAAAAACAAGCAGGGGCTGGGAAGGTGGCTCAGTGGTAGAGCGCTTGCCTAGCAAGCATGCAGCCCTGGGTTCGATTCCTCAAGACCACATACACAGAAAAAGCTGGAAGTGGCGCTGTGGCTCAAGTGGTAGAGTGCTAGCCCTGAGCAAAAGCAGCTCAGGGACAGTGCCCAGGCACTGAGTTCAAGGCCCAGAGCTGGAAAAGACAGACAGAGAGACAGACAGACAGAAAGCAAGCAAGCAAGCAAGAAAGCAAGCAAAATAACAGGGAGCACACCTGTAGTAGTAGTGCACACCTGTAACTCCAGCTGGATCTCAGGAGGCTGAGATTGGAGGATCAGGGTTCAAAGTCAGCCTGGGAAAAAAAAAAGTCTGACAGATTCTTATCTCCAATTAATCAGCATAAAAGTAGATTGAAGGTGTTCAATTCTGGTACACACACACACAGAGCTGGGCTGGTGGTGTAGGCTCAATGATAGAGATCATCTTTAGCATGCATAGAATCCTGGGTTTAATTGGAAGGAAGGAAGGCAGGAAAAAAGGCTGGTTGGAGCTTTTGGTTTGTATTAGTTTTTTTTTTTTTACACGTTTGGTCCTTAAGTGATTTATTTATTTATTTTTAAATACTATGTTGTTTTATTTTGAAGGTGCTGTACAGAGGGGTTCCAGATACATAAGTAAGTTAATGAGCACATTTCTTGTCGAATGGTGTTACCTCCTCCCTGATTCATTTGTTTATTTTTGCCAGTCCTGGGCTTGAACTCAGTGCCTGGGCACTGCTCTGAGCCTCTTTGTGCTCAAAGCTAGCGCTCTATTACTTGAGCACAACGCCACTTCTGGCCGCTTCTGAGTAGTTATTGGAGATAAGAGTCTCGCAGACTTTTCCTGACCAGGATGGCTTCCATCTGTGATCCTCAGAGCTCAGCCTCCTGCTGCTTCGCTAGGATTATAGCTGCGAGCCACCAGTGCCTGGCTAAGACCTTATTTTTATAAAATTAGATTTATAGTGACAGGGCCTAAGCGGGCGTGAACTCTGCCTTGTGGAAAGACACTGTTTCCCACATGATTGTGTGTGTGTGTGTGTGTGTGTGTGTGTGTGTGTGTGTGTGTGTGTGTGTGATTCCTAGATCATATTGCTCTATTTTGATTTTTGTTTTTTTAGGGGGTCTGGTCGTAGGCCTGAACTCTGGACCTGGGCGCTGTCTCTCAGCTCTTTAGCTCAAGGCTCGCGCTCTACCACTTGAGCCACAGCACCACTTCCAGTTTTTTTTTTTTTCTGTTTATGTGGTGCTGAGGAATCAAACCCAGGGCCTCATGCATGCAAGGCAAGCGCTCTACCACTGAGCCACCTTCCCAGCCCCCCTATTGTTCTATTTTGAGATAGAATTAGATACCCATTCCTTTAATTGCTTGATACTAGGGGCTTTGTAGACTCTTCACAGTACAACAGAGTAAAGATGATGAAGAAGAATACAAAGAATAGGAAGAGGATGGTGAAGATTTCCAATGTGCCAGGCCCTGGGCACTAAGGCTTGAATAGACCCCCTGCTCCGCCCTCTACCACAGCTCAGAAACAAGAGGTTGTGAGGGATTCTGATTTCAAAAGGTCAGTGAAGCTCATAGAGGTTGTGACATATTCAAAGATATTCAGCTCATGAAAGCAGAGTTTGGATTTGAATCTGGCACTGACTGCTAAGCCCAGGGCGCTAACCATCAGGCTACACCGCCTGCTATTATCTTGGCTTGTCTACTAGGTAGCCTCCTGCAATTATTGAAATGACTGGGGTTGGCTCCTGTCTTTGCTATCAATGAGACTAGGCTTTATTTACTTGTTTGTTTTCTTGGATAAATGTGGATTTTTCAGTGTCCAGGAAACTTTCGTTTAGGAAAATAAGAGTCACATTAATAAGTCACAGTAGTTATTTCTGGGGGCTCAGGTTTGCTGGAGACCCTCCTTCCAAGTTTATATATTAAAAAACAGCAGTCAGGACTGGGAAGGTGGCTCAGTGGTAGAGCGCTTGCCTTGCATGCCTGAGGCCCTGGGTTCGATTCCTCAGCACCACATAAGCAGAAAAAACCCGGAAGTGGTGCTGTGGCTCAAGTGATAGAGCGCTGGCCTTGAGCTGAAGAGCTGAGGGACAGTGCCCAGGCCCAGAGTTCAGGCCCCACGACCGAGAAGAAAAAATGAAGACAGAACATGAGACTCTGAGTTCAAGTCCCAGTCTCAATGAGCGCACGCGCGTGCGCACACACACACAAGAACCTGCAGTTTATTCCGTCATTGACAAGCATAGCCTCCCAGCCCTCTGCTTCCTCCAGGTAAACTGAGGAACAAGGCGTCTTCACCTGCTATGATTCTAAACCCAAGGTGCTCACTGCTCAGAGAGGTGAGCCGAGGCTCTCCCGCGGTCTGAAGCCCACCATGGAATTCCCGGTCTCCCTGTGCACGGCAGGCGTGTGCCGACGTGCTCAGGTCCTTCTTCCGTGTACTTATTTTTTCTTACTACTGCATGAGCTGTACAGAAACTTGTTGTCATGAATCATTTCCAGAGCTCAGGGAGTGAATCCACCGTCTGGTGAAAAGCCCACTCAAAATCCACACCGGGGTATTTCTAGGCCTGCTAGAAGGTGCATCACAAATGGCACTAAGCTATGTTTGTTTAATTTCCTGGGCTCAAAGGATCCTCCTGCTTCAGTCTCATGAATAGCTGGGACGACAGGTGTGTACCACAGTGCTTGGAGAAGTTTTGTGGTTTTGTTTTTTGGTTCTGGTCTTGGGGCTTGAACTCAGGGCCTAGATGCTATCCCTGGATGCTAGGCTAGTGCTTTACCACTTGAGCCACAGCTCCATTTCTGGCTTCTGGTTAGTTAATCAGAGATAAGAGTGTCATATGCTATCCTACCTGGGCTGCCTTTGAACCTCTACCCTTGGATCTCAGCCTTAGGGAGCTAGGATTACAGGCATGAACCACTGGCGCCTGACCTTCCAAACTATTTTTTTTTTTTGTGGTCCTAGGGCTTGAACTCTGGGCGCTGTTCCTAAGCTTCTTTTGCTCTCTACCACTTGAGCCCCAGGGCCATTTCTGGCTTTTTCTGAGTCTTTTATTGGAGATAAAAGTCTCATGGACTGGGCTGGGAAGGTGGCTCAGTGGTAGAGTGCTTGCCTTGCATGCCTGAGGCCCTGGGTTCGATTCCTCAGCACCACATAAGCAAAAAGAAAAAAGCCGGGAGTGGCGCTGTGGCTCAAGTGGTAGAGCGCTAGCCTTGAGCTGAAGAGCTGAGGGACAGTGCCTAGGCCCAGAGTTCAGGCCCCACGACCGGACCCAAAAAAAAAAAAAAAAGTCTCATGGACTTTCCTGCCAGGGCTGGCTTTTGCCAAACTATTTTTTTTTAATTAAAAATATTAGGGCAGGAGTGAAGTTCAGTGGTAGAGCATTTGTCTAGAATAAAGCAAGCTCTGGGTTCAATCCTCAACACTTCAGAATAAAAAAGTATTGACAAGCCCATCCCTGGTGGTTCATGCTTATAAACCTAGCTACTCTGAGATCTAGCTGAAGTTAGCCAGAGCAGACAAATCCTTGAGACTCCATCTCCAATTCACTAGCAAAAAGCCAGGCTGGAGGGTTGGTTCAAGTGGTAGAGCAGCAGCCATACGCAAGAAGGCTAAGTAGGAGTGTGACCCTTGAGTTTGAGCTCTGGTTCGGCAAAAACAAACATCAGAATCAACTGATAATGCTAGCTAGCATTTATCAGCTGCTGCCTGTGGCAGGCTTGTCTTCAGAGACCTAAAAATGTGACCTCAATTTGTTCACAGACCCTGTGAGCAACGTGCTGGAATGATCATCAACCCTGTTTCAAGACTGGAAAACAGATGCTTTGGAAATGTTTAGTATTTCACGTCTGTGACGAAGCTGGGACTTCTGTTTTGCTTACCTGTTCATGCTTACCAAACCACCATGAAAATTCGTGGCTGAAGACCAAATCACCATTCTGTGATTTCTCCAGGTTGGCTGGGCTCAACTGGAATTCTCCACTAGGAGCTCAGCCAGGCTAAGGTCACATGGAGGGTCTGTGCCTGCGCAGAGCTGGCGGCTAGTGGTTAGTTCCTGTTCCTTGAAAGAGGGAAGGAACAGGGCTGGGGAGGTGACTGAATGGTAGAGTGCTGGAGGCCCTGGCCTCCACTCCTCAGTACCACATGCACGAGAGAGCTGCAAGTGATTGGGGCTCAAGTGGTAAAGAGCTAGACGAACAGAAGCAGCTCAGGGTCAGCGCCCAGGCCCTGAGTTCAAGCCTCAGGACAGGGGGAAAAAAAGAGGGAAAGAAAGCTCATTTAGTAGTTCAGTACCCTAGAAGCTGAATATAGACACATTAGGTCCTTGTGAGCTTGTC